TCCAAGTCCGAGTAACTGATTCCGCCACGGAATGACATACTCTAGGGCTGGCGTGTCAATTCCCTGGAGTTTCAGACTCGGACTTGGCAGACACACTAGCCTTTTCGGAAAGTCTGTTGCTTTGCAGAAAGTTAGGGTTATCAAACATCAACATCCTTGGCGACTCTCAACTGATTATGTTAGCAGCAAATAAAGACACGACAAAATTGTACCATTACAGGATTCAATCTATTGTGAGAGTCATTCGAACAAAAAATTAAGAACTATGATATACCTATTTTTCTCCTTAAGATAAAACTCAACCTAACTGACTTGAAGATGGAGAACAAAGATTGTGAACAAACATTGGGACTGCGACGAACATAGTTTGATACTCAGATATAAGATGCTAAATAAATGCTCTCATTTATCATACAACTCAGAATGCGTTGATCTGTTCTGAGCTTCGAAAACAAAGATGTCTTCATGGTAGCTTTTTTGTTCCCTAATTAATCTCTATAATACTAATAATAAGTTAATGTTGCGAATTAGGAAACTAGAACTTTTCATCTAGAGCTTCTTCAGGGGAGATCGTGACATACAAAACGGAGTTCCGCCAATCAGGTCAAAGCCATAAAGTCTAAACTCCCAGAGAATTGAACTGATTAATAATAAACAACATGTTGAGTATCCCACAGTGGTGGGAGAGAGTCGATATCAATATATAAGTATATGGGCCACTCCCTTCATTGCCAATTGGTTTTGAGGTGGAACCCCATGGGCTTCTATATGGTATCAGAGCCAGCCCGCCAATAGTCGGACTCCAAGCCTGATGTGATAGAACTGGTAGGGCTGAGACGTGAGGCGGTAACTGGGCTTGCGGGGGAGTGTTGAGTATCCCACATCGGTGGTGGGAGAGAGTTAATATCAATATATAACTATACTAGTGATGTCTGGTCGCGCAATTGCGCGACCCTGGCCCAGTCTATCTGTAGATCTTAGAAATGTTTATATTTGAAAAAAAAAATAAAATTTTGTATTTGGAGCGATATATTTTAGAAATGTTTGAAGGATTTAGAAATGTTTTATAAGTGTGATCATAGAAATATTTGTATTTCACAAAAAAAAAAAAAAGAAATTGTATTTCGCCATGTATGTTTTAGAAATGTTTTATAAGTGTTAATTATTAAATATAAATAGACTTAATCGAATATATGTGTTGAAGTAAATGTTAGACAAAATACAAAAGTATCCTAATAAGTTTAAATATTAGTAAGATGATTTATTGATGTTCTCCATTGGTCGTGCCAAATCAATACTTAGTTTTGGAGATTTTTAATAGTTTTGTAATAAGGTTCATTCGAAGGGTATACGTTTAAAATAAAATTGACACTTTGTAACAAAAACTTAATTGATCAATTTAATTTAGACTCCATAATTAATAAAAGAAAACCACTCTAATTGAATGAAACATAAAGAAAAAATTAAAAAAAAAACGTGTCACATAAAGTGCAAAGAGAGATTTAGTAATTTAGTTATGGTTAGACAAAAGGGCAATTTAGTAGTTTCTTCATGTCACGTGGCAATCATAGAAGGTGTTTGAAAGGGGAGTTTTTATTTCTAATATAGTAAAATGGGCTACTCTCCTCATTGTCAATTGATTTTGAGGTGATTTCTATAAAACATAATTCGGCATGATGGATGTATTCATTTGAAGTCCATTCCACATGCACAGATGCACAGACCCTAGTACGGACGACATTGCAGCAAATTTATATTGTCGAAGCTTCATAGGAGTAAAAGTGACTTCAAAGTTCACGACTTAAGTTGACACTGAACAACAGAATCCAATGAGAAAAGAATAGAACTTTGTAGACTTTGGGAAACTAAAAAGAACCTAATAGTGTCAGATAACCTAGCACCTTGACCCGAATTTCAAATTTCTTAAACATTATGTTAGGTAGGATTCAAATAACAAACCGATTTCCGAGTTGCTCAGCGCATATTAATTTTACTTCGTGTAACTTATGAAAAAGACTTAAATACTCTGAAATTCTAAAGCCTCCATTGTTTTATTCTTTTATACCATTTTCTCTCTTTATTTTTAAATCAATTCTCTCAAATTTTTCAACATGTAAAAAATTCACCGATGTAGATAGTTTGAAATAGGAGAAAATCGAAAAAAATAAAAAACAAGAAAAAAAGAAGAATGAACGTCTCAAAAAGTAATTTTGTAGGTACTTTTTTTTTTTTAAAAAAAAGAGAAAAACTCCTGACAGGACATGTTACGCTAAAAGAGAAAATTACCGACATGGCAAAACTTGGTAAGGTAATCAGCATCATTACCCCATCGATTTTCCATGTTGTAGCCTCGTAATAGCTTGAAACATGAATTTAAATTCATGGATGCTTGAAAATTTATTTATGGATTATTTTGCAAAACATTAGAGATTTGTGGTTTATTTTAATGTTTTTTACAAATTGTGCGGGAAAAAAACATCAACCTGTGTTTAACAAGGAGAGAAAGAGAAATTAAAAAAAAAAGGAAATAGGAAGATTTAAGGGCATTTAAATCTTTTTAATAAATTGTGCAAATTAAAATCAATTTACGTTTAACAACACTATTTATCAATACATGTCATCCATGTTAGTGGGGGAATTCATCTAAAAGCATACCATAGTATATACTACTAATGCAGTACAAGCCAGTCCAATTCTTTTGATTTAATTGAATAGCCCAATGGATCCGCCCAGTGGTTAGTTAGCTCCATCCTATTACATAATAATTACTCGCACGTGAAAGGACATCCATGGCTTTCTTATATGGCCCAATGTTTTGTAACTATACTTTTGGACTGAAGATGCAAGGAGATGTTAACTACTCCTCCATTAAGAGTCAACAATAGTTAGACTGAAAGGTTCAGTTAGTAATTATTCTGATAGTTGTTATTAATTAGTTGCTATTAATTAAGGGTAAATATCAGGATAATGTTATTTATCTGACCATTTTTTTTAATCTCACTTTATACTATCTCTTTTTGGCAAATTATCTGGTACGCCCGGGGGCACCGTGTACCTCATGCGCATGTACTTTACTTTCTTAGAATAGCGTGGGTCCGATAGATAATTCAGTTTTCTTTTTCTTTTTTTTTTAAACGCGGCATATATAAATTACCGAATTCATTCAAATTTTGAAAACTTTGTGATGGAGTATTATTGTTGGGCAACGGCCGACTGCAATCGAGGCGTTGAGGCAGCAATGGGAGTCGGCAATCGAGGCGTTGAGGTGGACACAACCGGCGGCGATCAAGTCGTTGAGACGGGGACGGCGTTCAGCATCGAAGAAAGGCTCCGATTCCACCAGAGTGGTGATGATTGGATCGACGATATGCTGAGTTCAGATCGAGTGATGAGTTATTTCGTTGAGGATTCCGACTTGATGAATGCGGAATGTGGTGGTAGCAAATCTATCGAACAATCATACTGTGTCAGCAAATCAACGCAAGGTCGCAGTTCTGTTGTTGATCCACTGCAATCAGGTTTGTGTAGGTTTCAGAGTGTACTGTTTGTGAGAGAAGAATCAATCTAGTTGTTTCATTTTATTTTTCTTGATTTTTCTTTTGATAGTTTTTGTTAATGTTGTATGAAGTGGATAAGCAGTTATGTTGTGTTGGATATCGTTTATTATTTAGACGGATATGCGGATATACTTTTTGTTGATTGTGGTAAACATGGATAGACGATGCGAAGTACTGATTATGAAACTTTTTTTTTTGTTTTATTGGTTTTCCTTCTCGTTTTGTGCTGGTTTTCCAACTTGTATGAAATTTGTATGAATATCCAATTTGTTTATATTGGATATCCAACTTGTTTGTACTAGATATCCAGCTTATGTGTACTGGTTATCCAACGGATTTACATGCCTATGCAAATTTTATTTGCTGAATATCCAACTGATTTGTATTGGATATCCAACATTTTTTAGTTGTTTATATTGAATTGGTGTATCTAAGATTTTTTTTAATTTTTTGTTTTTTTGTTTGTCTCATTTTTTGTAAAAGATAACTATATCAATGAGTTGGGGGATGATGTGATGCTGGATGATGCTTTGCGCATGGAAGTTACATGTGCTCTGAAGGGTAGGTTTTCTAACTTGTTTATATGTGTTTAAATTTTTTTTTTATTTGTTTATCCATTGTGTTAATACTGATTATCCGACTCCTTGGTAATGGTTATCCAACCATCTCTTTTATTTTTCTCAGAATATGGAGAAGATAATAGCGGCAATGAATTGGGAGTTGATAATGTGATGGTGGAGGAGGATGCATAATTTATTCTGCACATTGGCTAGATAACCAGTAGAAAAATCATGGATAATCAATACAGAGTATTGGATAATCAGCAAAGAACTATTAGATAAGTAGTATAATGTCATAGGATAGACAGTTTAACAAAGAAGTAGAAAGACCAAGAAATTGGGACACTCAGTTTTTGTAGTTTGGGAATTTACAGAAATATTTGTACAAACAAAACACATTGTCTGGATAACCATTTTCTTATGGAAACAACGACAATGGTGCCTGGAACATACCTAGCGATAGTGATTAGGTTTAGGTCCAGTACCAATCGGGGACTTTTGTTATGTCTTTTTGGAAGCCCTGTCTGAATCCTTGTTTTGTTATGTCCACATGGTGGATAGGCATTGGTTACATATGGATAAGCAGTATTGAGGTTTTGGATAACAAGTATAAACTCATGGATAATCAGGTTAAAGACTGTACTTGCATTTTTTTGACTGGATAATCACTATAAAACATTCGGATAATCAGGTGTAAACAAGTTGGATAACTAGTACAAAGATCCTGGATAACCATTATGAACGATTGGATAATATACTAGGATGGCCAGTACACAGCTGTTGGATATCAAAAACTTTATGATCAACAGTCAATCAATTATACAAGAGAACATAATGACATTTCATTAACCCATCCCTCAGTTTTTCTGTCATTGTAGTAAGATTACCTGCTCAAATCAACATGATATGGAATTTCTTTTTGTTTTTCTTCAGCAGTATTTGTATAGAACTGGTGCATTGCTTCGCGGATTTTGTTCTTATTTTTGTTGACTAGGTGCATTAGGATTCTTATCATGTATTTCCACCGGTAGTCTTTGATGTTTCCTGTGTTGAAATCCAAAGTAGTACCATCCTCGTACTCACCACCATCATACCGCTCTATGTGATGCATTGTGTATATTCCACAATCTTCCCCATTCACCGTTTTGTCCTTATGCGATGGTAGCTTAACCTCTGTGAAAGTGTATTCAGTACTAACCAGTTCTATGCCTACAAACACACGTGATGTAGCTTTTGAAGAACCGAAACTGTGATGCCATAAAATCTAGGGATCAGCAAAATGCAATGAATAATTCTTAAAGTATGACAATCATTTTGTATCTTTTTTTCATTCACAAGTAGATCTTTTGTCGGGTTGTAGTAGTCCGGATCTTTTGGATGAAGATTGTTGAATACAAGCACTTTCATTTTTTCAACCAGCAACACGTACAAAAAGTAATGGTCTTAGTAGTATACTGGGAAGTAGATCTGATATTTCACATTGAAGGAGGAAATCATATGAAAATTTTTTAACAGTCAGTTTTAGAAAGAGTGAAGGGGGTGAAAGATGTTGCTTATTAGCTTTTGCTACTAACAGGGATGCTACAGTGAGGCCTTGTTCTTCTAGCTCAAGAGCCAACCTCTCATAAAATGCGAACTCCATGTCGTTTTTGTTACTGCCCTCTTCATAGTAGTAACTGATTTTATCCTGCGTTATTGTTTAAGATGGTTGGAAAATGATACAAATGAAAACAATGATCGGAATTAAGCACATACAAGGTCAACCAAAAGTACCCTAGATGACACACAAGAAGGAATGATTAACCAGTTCAGATGTTGTGAATAAGTAGTACAGAACAGATGAATAACCGGCAAATGAATCATGGACAAGCCACCACATACAAGGGAGACAAAAACAATCCCATAGCAAAATCCATAACAAGAAGGCTTGGATAACCAGTTCAACTTTGGTGGACAAGCATTAGTAACAAATTGGATAATAAGTACAAACATATGGATATACAACTTGCAGACATTTGACAAGTATTTTACCGGGACGGGATAAACAATAAGGGTTTAGTTGACTTACAATGACGGAACACCAAAGAATATCCGTGTTGGGGAGTCACTCTTGGCTTCTTCTTTGCTTAGGATGACAGCCCAAGCATCTATGATGCTGTTTTCTATCTATGTCCCTTCCCTCATGAAATAGAATGTTGTCCTGTCTGCCCAAACTATTTTTCCAAATTCAAACAAGAGTTTCCTGCATAGAAAAAATAGTCAAATAGACAAATAGTTGGAACACTGGTAAGTTTTTTATCCCACGGGTAAGGATGGTGACTTTTATCCTGATTTTAACTATTTCTTCTTCTCTTTGTAAGAGAGCAAAGTCTATCAACAGGGCTTCTTCTTGGGTCATTTTCTTCTTCTCCTCTGTCCACTGTATGAATATTTTCTTGTTCTTCTTCTGGAGCATGAATGGGGACCTAAACCGTTCAGGCAACCTGCGGACTCTTGCTGGATTTCTCCTCTTAGGTTTTTCATTGAGGATCCTAGGACAAAACAAAAGAGAGTTAGCATGTAAATTCGTCTTTCTATTTTGTAGTGGGGAGTCACAGTGGATCAAACTTACTTTTCCACTGTCTTTGTTAACTCTTCATCAAGCTCATCAGCTTCCTTTGAGATTACAGGCGGTGGCGTGGTACACTCATTTTTCTCCAGCATCAGTAGACCACCCGTGGTAGAAGTAATATTCCAATTGGGTGGAATTATGCTTATAGGGACTACTTTAACCACCTTTGAGTTTTTCTCAACTTGTTCTGCAGCAGCGGCAATCATCTCTAGTTTTCTGGTATCACTTAATGATTTTGAAGCTGGTGCACTGGCCCTTCTTATGATTTCAGTGATGGAAGGAGTAGGATTCTTTGTTTCGTTGAGTGCAGATGATTTCAGCTTCGATAGTCTCATCGATATCTTTATCCGAATTAACACTTCCTATGATATTTTCGATGAAATGACTGGGATTGTTCGTTTCTTCAATTGGAGCTGGTACTAGAACATCATCATCTTTGGTATGCTCATTGAATTGTTTTTCTGAATCGTCTTCCTCAGTGTTCTTCTCCTGGATTGTCTCGTAACTGTCTTCCTGACTGGAGAAGATACCCATGCCAAAATGTGGTAGTTGGGTCTTTGACTACTTTCTTTTTCCTGGTACCAGTGCTTCTCGTCCTTCTGGTATAGGTGGATGTTGCACCAGTTTGGTTTGTTGTGGGTGTCACGCCTGTATCCAGTTTGGTTGATTCTTGATTGGATTTTGCCTTGTCTTCCACTTGTGTGTCTCTGTCCTGGCCGGTGGAATCTTGATGGTATCTGTTGTCTGCCATTTCTTTTCTTCTTCTTTCGCAAGCTTTTGAAGCTTTTTGCTTTTCTTGGTTTCTCTTCCTTTTTGTTGTGGAGATATTCGTTCCATGTGTTGCAGTACAAAGTTAGAATGTTGGATAATCAGTACGAACATACATATATATTGGACACATTGGATAACCAGTTCAAACGAAGTGGATAATCAGTTCAAATCAGGCCGGATAATCAGCAGGAACGCAATGGATAACCATTTAAAGGGAAAAAAGGGGTTAGATAAGCAGTACAAATTAGTTTGATGACAAGTACAATCACATCGGACAAGTATTTTTTTCATTAAAAGGGATTAATGAAAAAAAAAGGATAACCATCGGACAAGTACATTGTGTATTTCAATATTTATACAATTTCATTCTTTATATGGTTAATATCATATTCATACCCATCTTAAGCATAATTATGATGATTTTGGGCAATCTTCACCATTCAAAAGAACACAAAATTGAAATATTATCTTATAAATATGAAAGGTTCATAACCATAAGTTACAATGTTCATACTAAATTCACACATTGCATAAATATGGTGCCTAATACTCATAATAAATTGTTATAGAAACTTTTGAATTAGAGTTACACAGTTAATTTGGAGAGAGAAAGGAGAGAAATGAATTAATTATAGAAATAATTTATTTTTTGAAAAAGAACATGGAAAAAATTGAATCAGTTAAGGAATTGATTGACTTGGATCAGCTGCGCGTGAGAGAATTCTAAAACAAATTATGAAAATTCACTCATTTTTTTCTTGCGTGTTTTACAAACCAAAAAACCAGAGCACTATTCTTGGTGAACACGGTACACGATATAAATTGCCCAGAAAATTAGCACAACGCATTTAATATTGAACGTAAATGATAAGAAACTGAATATTACTTCCGTTTTTATTTTTTGTCTGTTGCTTTAAGATGGATCTAAGATGCTTTTATTTTTTATTTTCTTTTGTTGCACTTTATTCTTAAAGCATCAGTAACTCTTTAATTTTTTTTTTTTCTCAATTTCTCTCTCATTTCAAGATTGGTCACTCACTATAGATATTTGTTTATTTCATTTCAAACTCAAACGAGCAAAATGTTTCAACCAAACACATCAAACACATTAAATAATTTCCAACCAAAACCAATCTGTCCTGTTTTTATTAAACACCCTTACAAAAACAAATACTCACGAATAACACACACACACTTTTGTTATGCGCCCTCTTCACACTGTATAACCAAACAATGTGTAACCAAACAATTAGACACAGATTAGACAGTAACTCAATTGGAGATTCAGATATCTTATATAGCTACGGGTACATACCTTCATATAAAAATAACGAAAAAAAGAAATTAAACTCAACCCCGAACGCCCAACCTCTTTTCTTTTTGCTTTAAAACATGATCAGTACAGTAACACTCAATCAGAGATCAGTTCTGTGCCATCAATCTTCTAGTCTCCATATATTCTTCATCTTCTGAACCTATGGCTGTCTGATTCACCTCAAACATGATATGGATCATCAGCTGGGGAACTATATCCACTATGTTGTGGTAGCTTTCTACAATTCCTCGCTAAACTTTTGGTATGAACAAACAAATAATATTTCATCTTGCCTGAATTATTTCAATGTTGTTAGCTTTATTCATACATCATTTTCGTTTACGTTTGTCTGCAATGATGTTGAAGGATTCGAGTTGAGACAAAATTTATATCTTTCTTTCATTCATGTTCAATGTCCAAGTGTAACACATTTTTCATTTCTTTTTTTTTTCTTTTTCATTTGCAATTTTTCACAAGGGAAAAGTTGAACTCAAAATCTAATTTCTCAATTGCATCCCCCTTTTCCTATTTTGGCTGTTGAAATTTCATTTACAGTAAAATCTACACTCAAAGGTTATACTGTGATTAAGATCCCTTCTTATGCAGCATGTGGGAATTATGCACATCCCTGGAACCACAACATATGTGTATCAGTTGACAACGGGTTGCAAGAGCCTATGCACCGCAGGTAGTAAGCCTCAACAAGATGATGCATGCGGGCTGGAGTACATTTCTTACAAGATGCCTTACGTTATTCGATTATTCAGAATTTCTAAGAGGTAATAATTACAAAATAATCTTTGCTTTTGGAATGTTTTGAGCATCCAATAAAATTTCAGGCATTTTGATTCCGTAACATCCAAATAAAAATGGATTTGAAATTTGTAAAAGCTCCGGAATTCTAAACGGTAATGATTAGAGACGTTCTGCTAGATATGAGTATCCCGTCCGGAAAGTCATCATTAAGATTCAACGTCAATAGTACATGTTCGGCGGTGTTCATCGAGCCGCCGTTCAGCAAATGCCTGGAAATTGAAAATTCTCATGAACGGAGAGAATGGAAAGAGAAATTGGGAGAGAAAAGTTTCAATAGTCATAGTGTTGATGCTGATAGATTAGCGGCTACTTGTGTCAAACCCCAAAATATGTCCCAAATAAAAGTAGTAGACTGAAATATAGTTGTTTCAGGGAGTGGTCAGAAAAAATGTATGCCGGAAATCCAATTTCCGTTTTTCGTTGTAATGGTAATAAACCGGATTTCCAAATTTCATTTTTGTAGAATTAGTTGTAATAAGTACTTTATAATACGCTGATTATCAAAACGGATTTTCAAATTCCGTTTTTCACTTAACAATTTATATAGAATTTTCCGAGCAACCAAACAAACGGAAAATAATTTTTTTTCTGAAACCTAAAACGGAAATGGAAAATCCGTTCAAAAGTTGTATTACAAAACGGAATATCAATATCCGTTTTAAAGCTGTTAAGGAAAAAAAACGGATTTGCTTTATCCGTTTTTGGACTATAAAAAAAAAAAACGGATGTTTGACATCCGTTTTTAAAGCAGTAAACAGAAAAAAAACAGAACGGGTTTGCAATTGCAAACCTGTTGAAACCTGTTAAAAAACAGTTAACAAACAGCACCAAAACAACACCAACAGCAGCCTCAACTCAAATCAAATAACCCTTGAATTCACACATTAATTCAACAAAATATTTCAATTTAACATGTTTAAATAAAAGACTACATCACAAAATATTGATCAAAAGTAGATTATCAACAAAATGATGCCATTACAATTCCTCCTCGGGTTGGGCAGTGGATGGCGTGTAGCGATTGACTTTCTTTAGTTTTCTACGCGGCCTTGCTAACGCCAAAGGTAGACTAGATTCCACATCCATAGTTGTAGATTCACCTTCTTGGTTGGCTTCGTCCTGATGATGGGGGGTTGGAGTTTGAAACAAGTCGGCATTGAGTTCAAAATCAAATTCTGGTTCTTCTTCTTCAACAATTTTCTGCCTTCCTCCTCCAATCCCACGGTTAGGAATGTTTCGTTTGCGAACTTTGCCAACCGGTTGAGAAGGTTGTGGTTGAAGATCAACAAGTGATTGTGTGGGTATCAAAATTGGCATCTCATGTGCTCCAAGGGATAAAGCACTCATAGAATGAGAAGTGAGTTCAAGAAGGAGATTCGTACAAACTGAATTTTGGCAGACATCTTCTGATTTCTTGTAGTCTTCTACCATTTTGCAGATGTCGCTCAAAGCATCAGCCTAAAATCAATTTAACCATTAAAAATGTAATTAAAAAAAATAACAAACCTGAAAATTCTTTTTTTAAAAAAAGAAAGAATCCAGCTTTAAAAAATAAAAGAGAAGATTAGAGATAAAAACTAAAAGAAACCCAGATGTCCAGAACTTAATCACCAAAAAAGGAAAAACATTTCAAGAATTTTTTAACAAATTTTAGATGCATTCAAACCTACTAACGGATTGAAAAACGGGAGAAATAAATGCAAATTATTGTAAGGAAAAAAAAAACAAAGGACTTGTCAATTTAAAAAACAAGTTTACAATTTAAAATAAAATTTAAAAATGGAACTTGAAAGCAGAAAACAACAAGATCCACAAGCACCAATATATAACCATGTAGCACTAACAACAAATCATACACAATGAAGATGCGAATGCAGTTATTCTCAAGAAAAAAAGAAACCAGCCTTAAAAAAAAAAGAGTTGAGATAAAAAAGAAAATACTTACATAGAATTTTGCACGATCAGAATGTTCACGATACCCTTCCTCCTGAAAGTTGTACTTATTGGGATCCTTGATAAATTTGATGGTATTACTTTCATACCATGGGAGATAATCATCATCGGTTGAGGATTGAGCACTCGGAGACCCAGCCACAATGGAGTCTGCCCTGTTGTTCCATTTTTTGATGTATTCACGATGATGTAACTCCCAATTGTTTCCACCTCTTCCAGTCCTACCATACTTGTGCAACTTTTCCCATTCTTGGAAACCAACAATCATTGGTTGTGGTGGGATGAATTGTTTGAAGCCAAATTGTCGCATCACACGGTCAACTTGATGCGGTTCAATGACATCCCAGCAAATTAGCCAAGTGTTGGATTGCCAATGATCACGACCCCGTGTACATCTTTCAGGTATCTCCACTCCTTCATAAGGTTGCCAAATAAACTGAAAAAAAAACAGAACATACAATCAAGGCTGTCAGAATAGAATACAAAAGGAATGTAGACATTTTGCCAAAAGAATTTAAATACAATAGAAAATGCTTTTTTTTTCTTTTTTCTATTGTTCTTTTTTTCTTTCTATTTTTTAAGATTACATAAAGAATGGAACAAAAAGGAAGCAATGTCCTAATTAATTGTAAGAGGCAGCTTACGAAAAGAAAAAGGAAGGTATGGCCTAATTTGCTTTATTATAACAAATTGTTAAAAAAAAAAAAAAGAGCAATGCTTTCTTTGTACATTGTAAAGTAGCATATTAACTAAATCACATTTCTACAAAAATAGTGCAAAAGCCATTTATTCATTAAGTTCAAATTCATTCAAAAAGAATTTAATCAAATATAAAATTAAAATCCCTTACATCTTCAACCTTCCTAAGGCTCGCGAGTTGATCTCGTTGTGCTGGGAGACAGTGAGAGGCCACCTGCGAAAAATCCAATGAACACCTCCATCTTGAACCCAAGGCCAAGGTGTGATCGTCATCTTCCGAATT